TAGGCATGCATTGAGCATTATGAATGAATTAAAAGAATAAGAAGGAAGCCTAAAGAGGAATATGTGAATTAAGAACGGATTGAATTATTTGTGACCCATTGTGTTCATGGAATGTGTAGGGTCGAGCTCCAAGGCAAATCATCCAGCCGATCACAGTGAGTAATATCTTAATAAAGATATTTTGAAATATGTTATTTGTCAAATTACTTATTTCTCTATAAGTTTTATGAGTTTGTTAATTGAATTGTGGACAAATGTTTGCTATGCCATATGGTTGGGCCTAAGGCCGTTTGCTATAAGTGAATGGGCCAAAGGCCAGTTTGACATGAAAGAATGGATGAGCCAAAGGCTAGTTTGACATGAATGAATGCATGAGCCAAGGCCAGTTTGACATGAATGAATAAATGGGCCAAAGGCCAGTTTGACATGAATGAATGAATGGGCCAGAGGCCAGTTTGACATGAATGAAAGATAAATGGGCCAAAGGCCAGTTTAACATGAATGGATTGGGCTTGAGGCCGTCCGTTGTGTTTGGAACGGCAGTCGCTTGATCTATATGTATACATACTAGATAGAAATATGAATTGGGCCCAAGGCTGTCTGATATATATTGTTCTAATGTAACTTCTTTATTGATATTATTCACTAGGCTTTCGCTCACGCTCATTCATGTGTTTGTAGGTGAGTCAAGAGAGGTCCAAACCCAGCCTCAGTGAAGTTTGTGTGGAACAACCAAGGTTTTGAAAAGTCAGCCATACGTCTCACGCACGAGACTCGTTTTCGCCCTTTTGCTATTTTATTACATTTTGTCATGTTGGCGAGGACTTTGGATTTTTATTGTATATAGTTTTGATTGGCTGACCTAGACTTGAATGATCCTGTATGTACAGAGCTTTGTGTTAGTACATAGTTTGATGTGAGTTATTAACATGTATATGTATGGCTTGTTATAATGTGCCATATAAGCACAGCTCTATGGACAAAAGTTTGAAATTACTTCCATTTGGCCCCTTTACTTTAATGAGTTATGTTTTATTTGGTTTGAGGCCGTAGGAAATCCCGTGATTACTGGCCGGTTATGTCCTTAATCCATGGGAGCGGGTTCGGGTCATGACAATGATACTCACATAATTGAAGCTCAAATTTTAACTAGGGAAAAGTTTGGCAATTTGGCATTCATACCAAGGATATCTTTGACACCATCTTTTTCAAAAATGTCGTTCCAAATGACAAGACGTCAATTTCCAGTCCGATTGGCATATGCCTTGACCATTAATAAATCTCAAGGATAATCTGTGAAATTTGTTGGGGTTGATTTGTGCATACTAGTGTTTAGCCATGGACAATTATATGTGACATTGTCTAGATGTACATCTTTTGATCGTATAAGTATTCTCCTCCCTAAAGATAGTTTGGATTCTATTACAAATATTATTTATTTTGAAATGTTGTTGTAGTGTTCTATGCAGATTACATCACGTTTTGTCAGAAGGTAACCATGTAGATTTATTTCTATTGATTATATAATTTTTTATAAAATTTCAATTGAATAATAATTTGAAATATGGACTTTTGTAGAATTGGATAAAAAAATCTATGGAGCTTAAAAGGAGAAATACGACTAGCTTGCTTCGATAGGGATGTAATAAGGTAATTTCAATCTCAAAGTATTTTGATATGTATATTTCCAACAAATGTACTAATCAATATTTTTTTGGTTTTCACAAATTACCAGATTGTTGTGCATGTTCTTCATTGGGGATACATACAAGTTGATATAAAGACTTTTTGGAAAGTAATAAGTAGTAAGTTTGAGCAAACACATGTTTGTAAACATATTATTGACACATCTTTTGTAAAGCATACATATTTTGGAAAGTTTTAACCCACTTTTTGTAAAATTTTAACCCACTTTTTTGGTGTATGACAATATAATGTTTGTTTTTCTTATGTAGTTATAATTTGATTGACAACAGTAGCACTTACTGATGTGCATTTTAATTTCAATTTCTTTTAGATTGCAGAGCACAAGTTGGTGTGCATTATTTGATATATATATATATATATATATATATATTTTATATTTGATTTGTTCGGAATTATAGAGTACAGACTGTTATGTATTGTTTGATATTTAATTTTCAATTCAGTTTGTTGAGATTGTAGAGCACTTATTGATGTGCTTTATTATATAGATTTAATAATTTTTTTTCTTTTTATTATAAAACGTTAACAAGTATACAATAACTTTAATTTCTATTTTTGTTTAGTGTTTACAATTTTTTTTACTTGTTCTTATATTTTGATTTATAATATTGGTGAATATTATAAATCTTATATGTTTGTTTCTTAATTTGAATTTAAATTATGGAGAGTTGTTATTTTATTTGAGTTTTGTAGAGTGTGTAATACAAGCAAAATTGTTATAAGTTCTTTAAGAAGAAAAATATTTCAATATTTTTTTTTCAGTATCTTTATCAAAAAATGACACAAATTTCACAAATTTCAGCATAATACGTATAAATTATAACTGCATTTTAATTGTAGGGGTTGTTTGGGGTGTCCTAAATAAGTGCACCTTTTGACTTTTTAGACTAAAAAATAGAGGGAAAAAAGATAATTGTTTGAGATAACTTTTTATCTTTTTACGAAAAAATGTGTATTAAAATATTGTATAAAATAACAAGATTACGTTTTTATCCCTACATATATAAATTTGTATTGACAGTGATAGTATATGAAGACAGTACGGTGGCAGCAAGAGATATAAGAAAAACTTGCCTACGGTGCTATCTACATAGGACGGTGCTGTTCAGCCCGTAGAGGCCCACCACAAGTCCCGTTTTGATAATCAGAACCGTTCAATGTGTAGAACTTATCAAGTATTATATACTTGTAAAAAATCACGTTAATCGGATATCGATAGCTATCTGATTGGATTAGTTTTTTGTCAATCGTTACTTTGTGCACGGTCTATTTTTTATATAAAACTGATTTGATCATATAGTTATCGATATTCGATCAACGTGATTTTTTTAAGGCAAATAGTACCTATGATTTCTACACATTGGACGGTTTAGATTATCAAAAAATGACCTGTAATGGGCCCCTATGGGCCGAACAGCACCGTGCTGTGTAATTTTTCTGTGCACCCTCTTTACAAACTCACCATCGCTTCAGACCACTATGTCACGTTCAGCCATGATGTTGGTTTGTACCTTTTTTGGGAATTTTTTATATATATATATATATATATATTTTTGAATAGTGATCACTTTATGACTTTGTAATAACTTTTCGATTTTCTAACTTTTTTCCAACACTCCAAATCAATCCTTAATATTATTTACACCGTGCCTTTAGGCACGAGTATACGCTAGTATATATATATATATATATATTACACTAACCTCCATAAAATATAAAGAAAATAAAAATATATATGCTATAATTACATTGAACTCTTCTAATATTTTAATTCTCATAATAATTTTCTAATTTTTATCATAATTTTTTGGGGAAAGACTATGGTACAAATGTGTGTGCCTTATAACTAAATAACAAAATGACATAATTTCATACTTTTTGAATCATAATTAAAAAAAAATTAATCAAATACATAAGGTATAACTAAAGATTTTAAAATAATGTTATAACTAAAGAACAAAATTGATTATTACTAAAGAAGAAAATAATATAACTAAAAATAAAATTCTCTAAATTTTTTTAAACATATGAAATGAAAAAATAATATTATCATATTTTTTATACATATATATATATATATATATTTATTATACGTTCACACTATTTATAATTATGTCAAAATTATTAATTTTTTATTTTTTTAAAATTTCAAAAGAGGATAGTATAATTTACCCAAAACAAAACAATAATAATCATGCAACTTTACAATAATCTTGAAATAGTAATTCAAGTAGATTGTTTAAGCCAAAAAAACTAACAACATGTTTAATGTAGTTTCTTGTAAGTTAGCAAAAATTAAAACACTTCCATTATTTCACAATAATAATAATAATAAGGTATATTTAAACCATTTTTGTCATAAAATTGTATTAAACATTCTTAGCAAAAATTAAAAACACCACTTCCATTATTTCACAATAATAATAATAATAAAAGAGTATGTTTAAACTATTTTTGTCATAAAATTGTATTAAACATTCTACACAAACTGTACAAAGGCCCCGTTTTGTATATGGGTTGGGTTAAATCAATCAATAAAAGGATAAAATAGATAAATTTAACTAATAAGATATAATATTACATTTAAATCGTAATAATTTTACTTTTTCTTACAACAATCAAATAAACTACAAATAAAAAAAAGGAAAATTTACTCATAAGTCTTAGTTTCTGAAAAGTTGAACCATTTAGTCCTAAAAGTTTTCTTATGCTCCATTTAGTCCCATTTGCACATCAATCTAATGTTCGAAACATTAATCTGATATTCGAAATCTAATGTTCGAAACATTAATCTGATGTTTGAAACATTGTAATGGGACCTTTCAGTCTATAAGAAAACTTTTAGGACTAAACAGTGTATAAGTTATTAATTTGGGATTTATTGGTGCACTAAAAATTCATTCTAAACAATTTTTTTTTGGAATAGTTTACATATTTTTCATTTTCAACCTTAGTATTTTTCACTTATTTTACATGAGATGGATGAATGGATAAATTGAAACACAAATAAAACTCTAGAATTTAATTTATCAAAATTGAAATATTGAGATTTAAAATAAAAAATACATGAAATCTTGAGATTTTTATATATATATATATATAATTAACCCAAATTTTTTTAACAAAATTAAAATAACTAAAAAATTTAAAAAATAAGTTTAAAAAAATTTATCTCAAACGGAGCTAAAATTAATTGCAGATCCCACACGAATTAATTGCAGATCCCACCCGTATGATTAAGCCGCCACGTGACTTGGGTGAACCGTTCTGTGAGTTGTTTCGGTGTCCGTAGAATTGGACTGTGTATACGTAGTGGCGGCGTGTACAAAACAATTTTCTGAAGCCTTCGGGCGAAGAAGCGCATTATCTCATCAACCCTTCCCTCTTTGCAGACACCCTCTCTGATGGCCATAGCCCTGAAATCAAGTAGCTTCCTGCAATTGAAGAGCAAATCCCAAGGCCATTTACTCATTACCCCTTTCAACTCCCAAAGAGTTTCGATTCCAAGTAGAACATTCAAGCCCCCAATGGCTACTCTCAGTGCCATCCCAAGTGTAGGACTCTCAGAGACTTTCACCAGATTGAAGAAACAAGGCAAAGTCAGTATTCCGTTCTTTGTTTTGCTGCGTTTCTTTCAAAGATTTGCGATACTTTAGCTGAAAGATTTATGGGTTTTAGTATTTCTTTAATGGGTTTTGCTTATTTCCATTGGTGTGGTTCATTTCTGATTGCAATTGAAGTTTTGTTCATTTTTGACTAGTTTCAGACTTGTGTAACGTTTATGAGTGTGATTGAAATTCAGAGTCTTGATATCAATATTCAAGTAATTTCATTTATCCAAAAAAAAAAAAAAAATTGTTTTTTTCTTTTTGCCCTTCCATTCTCCTTCTCTCCCTTTCCAAATTAACAAATTTTATGAATTTTTCTTACTAACTGATTTGTCCGGTAATAGAACACGACCCACTTCAAATATATGATATGTGATACATCATTAAGTACAAAAAGTTTATAATTTTTTAGTTTGTATAGCATTTCTCCTCATAATTTACACTTTTCTTCATTTCTCCTGTGTATCCAAATAGGAAGGTGCTTAGGGTTCATGATTTTGGGATTTGTCCACCCTGTTAACAAATGCACCCTGCAATTCGGTGGAAATATAAAGCTTCACCATTGCCAGTATAGGCAGCTATTTGATGCAACCATTAGTATTGCATGATTTTCCTCTCCAACGTGATGAGATGGCATCTACTAATTTTGCGTATTATATTGATTTTCTTGCTAAAATTTAAATCAGGACTACTCAAAATTAGGAACTAAAATGAAACATGATTTGGTGCTATCCACAACGGAAATATGTGATTTTATATCATATTTTGTTCTGCTGACAACACTTTTGATGAAAAGGTGGCGTTAATCCCATACATCACGGCTGGTGATCCCGACCTTTCAACAACAGCAGCAGCACTTAAAGTGCTTGACTCATGTGGGTCAGACATAATTGAACTGGGTTTACCATATTCCGATCCTTTGGCAGATGGTCCAGTTATACAGGTTTGATGGTGTGGTTGTCTGATCATGTTCTTCTAATTCCAATTATACAACCTACATTATTTATTTATTTTAATCTTTAAAAATTCAGGCCGCTGCTACACGGGCATTGGCAAGAGGGACAAATTTTAATGCAATTTTGTCGATGTTGAAGGAGGTAGGATGTTTGTTTGGTACAATTCTCTCTCTCTCTCTCTCATAATCTCTAAAGAAATTTGCATTAATGCCAAATGCTCTACTTGCCTTTGTATCATAAATCCATCTAGGTTGAATTGTTGGTTTTATAACAGGCCCGTGATTACTTTATTGGCACATCAACAATCAAATGTCTGTAAGATGCTTTTAAAGCAAAATGTTTTGACCAAGTTTCCCAAACCTATTGTAGCAGTATTGTTTTGCAACTCAAAAGCATATATTTTTGTTATAATCATTTTCTTATTTTTTTCAAACGAAGATAACTAACCAGTGATAGTGAATTTTTCATTTTGAGTGTTGCTTTTCCTGGGAGGTTGGCTAGGTAATCTAATAAACAATGTCAAACTCATTCATGTTAAGTTATCACAATAATGACTACGTTCTTTAACCATTGACAATGATGTGCTCTTAAGTTACCTTACATATGATAGGTCATACATGCTTAGAATTGAATACCTTTTCATAGGTACGTCAGGAGTGAATATTTCAACCATTAGACTAGTACTGTTTATTATCTTTAATATACTTTGCTTGTCTTTTCTCATACTTTGTGGTTAATTATTCCTCATAGGCTTCTAATATCACAGTCTGATCATTTACGAATCAGGTGGTACCTCAGTTATCTTGCCCACTTGCATTATTTTCATACTACAATCCAATTCTTAAGCGTGGGATTGATAACTTCATGTCTACTGTGAAAGATGTTGGCATACATGGTAACGTATTTACATGTGTCCTGGTTCTTCTTATTCTTCCTCATTCTTTTTAAGACTCAATTTATGGATAGATTCTTCTTATGATGCTTATATGGTTGGTTGTTCCATTTATTTTAACCTTCAAGATTATTTTTTAACCCTGAAATATGCTTATAAGGCATTTTGTTATCTATATAAATCTCTATTATTTTTGTATCCTATGCCCTTTAATTTTTCTTGTACTTGGTTCTTTATATCCCGTTTGGCAAAACTTATTTGCAACTTGTTTAGCTTAGCTATTTGAAATCACATGCTTAAACAGTTGTACTTTGAAAAATTAACATGTTTGGTAAAAATTTTCAGGTTCTCAGTTTATATGATTTGTTAGCTCAAAATAAGTTTACAAAGCTAACTTTTTTTTAGCTGGATTTTGGATGCGTTTTTTCAGGACTTGTGGTCCCTGATGTTCCTCTGGAGGAAACTGAGATATTGAGAAACGAAGCTGTCAAGAATAATATTGAATTGGTTAGTTTCTCCATGTAATTGTTCTATTCTTTTCTTAGTTATATAGTATATCTTAATGGTGATAAATTATCTCATTGAGTGTTCTAAATAGTCAGGCAATATAGTGGTTTTCGTTATTTATGTGTATGTTTTTAAAGTACTCTTGTTTATATGACAGTGCTTTTGGTCTGGTTATTCTTATCTCGAAAAGACTATTAGTTATGTGGCATAGTTTTTATGTTCAGTATAATATCTACCGTGTCTCTGGATTTTTTTTTCTTTTCCTATTTGGATATAAGTAAATCAAATTTTGTAGAAAGGTCTCAAAGAATGTAAAATAAGACAAAAGAAGTGAAAGCAGTCCTCCACATTATAATCCTATGGAGTTGACAAAATCCAAAATAAGTCAAAAAAGGGATAATCACTATCTAAGATGCGCACACGCCAGGGGGGGGGGGTTTGTTGGTTATTGGAGAAGAAATCTTGAGCTTGCTTTTTGACTTTGTAATTTGTAATATAAATATATATGTTACAGTGAGTATTTCTATCTTGGCATTTGACATATTCTTAAATTGGTTTGTTTCTATGAGGGCAAGTTATTATTTGGATAGATGTAAAACAATTAGAGCCTTATTTATCTGGAAAAGTAACTGCCTTATGGGTAGCATGTATTAACTAATTTATTTGTGAACTACAAGTTTTCAAACATGGTTTATATTTTGCTTTCTTTCCTGAATATGGGCTGCATATTTGTAAGCATACTTTGATGAAGTTGATAACCTGCTAGTGTGGCAATTTGCTATTAGTATATACTTGTTGCTGTATTTTGCTCTATTTTGTTTCTGATAAAAGTATAATTCTCACTTTATTTTGCAATTAAGGTGCTGCTCACAACACCTACTACTCCAAGAGATCGAATGAAAGCCATTGTTGAAGCTTCAGAGGGATTTGTGTATCTTGTAAGATCCTTCTTTCCCCAGTAATTATTGTTGACACCACTTTCAGATCTCTGTCCATGGTTTGATTAATTATTTGTCAATTATTCTCTCATTTGACAGTACTTTTGTAGATTTATTTGGCATTTTCAAGTATTTCAATAGGCTCATAGCATCCAGTAAGGTTGATCAGTTAATTAGATCTTTCCACTGTATCTTCTATTGGCTAATGTGTTTCTTCGTAAAGGTAAGTTTAAAACATGACAATTTCAGGTACTTGCATTGGCCACTCATAACATTCTGATAATGTTGGTTTAGAGTTGACATAACTTCTTATTATATCTTTACTTCTACTGCCATTGCCTTTGTAGCACAGTAGCAAAATACAACTATATTTTATGGCAGTTTCTATTTGCGATCTATGAATCTATTTCTAAATTTTACCTATTCATCATAACATTATTTAGTATCACTCATTCATTCTAATGCTATATTTTGGTTTGTGAATTATCATTACCTACTGCTACTTGTACCATTTCCCTAATATTTCTGCTTATTACTGTCTAATCATCATTTAGTGATGGCCTTTTTGCTCAATAAGTTATAGTTGAAATCCAATAGATGAAAATGGATGGATACTTGTGGAATCATAATCAACATCCATATAAATACTTCACGAATTGCAGTTAACCTGGGCTTCCCTTATTTTGTTTCCTTTACATTAGAGAAATTTAGATTATATTCTTTCTTATACCAAGTCATTCTGAATACTTGATTTCTTATATGTTTTTTAAATAAATTTGGTGTAGTTATTGCTTTGAAAGTAGAGAATAATTGTAAAAGAAAATGACACTGCAAGTTTGGAACTTACGATTCATGGTTTTGAACCATAGGTGAGCTCAATTGGAGTCACTGGTGCTCGTGTATCTGTTAGTGGAAAGGTTCAAACTCTTCTACACGATATTAAAGAGGTTTGTCTTCTAGTATCACATACCAAACCTTAAAATGTAATAGAATTACCTTGTATCTCAGTATGAAAAAGGTGTGGTGTCCTTTTAAAGACACGACAGTCATGCCATTAGGTAGATTAAGACCAATTGCAACTGTTTAACTTATGTTTCATGCTATTCACACTTGTTTGGGTGAGCAACTGAAGTACGTGGTGCAGACAAATAGACTTGCCCTTTCATCCCAACTTATCAGAATTGCTGCATTTTTCGGGCCTTGATATAACATTTGGATAGGCTTTCAAATAATGTGAAATTGTAATGAGATGCTTAGTCTTGCGTAATGCCTAGTATCATGATTTTAGTCCTGATCACGTGTTAATTCCACTTGTCTAGAATGACATTTGAATGTCTGACTCGTAGACTAGTCCTATTTAGAGCCATAGATTTATGATGAGATTGGTTTCTATTGTGTTTTGGTGCTTTTTGACAGGCAACAAGTAAGCCTGTAGCAGTTGGCTTTGGCATATCAAAACCCGAGCATGTGAAGCAGGTTTCTCACAACACGAACCTCTTTGTCACCATGGACTGTGTAGAGTTTACCAAAACCCGAAAATGCTTAATGTAGAGTTTACCAATCAACCTTGATTGTGTTTGTTACAGGTGGCAGGATGGGGAGCTGATGGCGTGATTGTTGGTAGTGCCATAGTGAAACTACTGGGTGAGGCAAAATCCCCCGAAGAAGGGCTGAAAGAATTAGAAATCTTCACTAAATCGTTGAAATCTGCACTGCCTTGACGGCTAGTTCTGCCGTTTCAGAGTCAATTTTGTATCTTTAGCATCACATCTTTTTAGACTTTCAAAATCATCCGAATTTGGAGTTTTTGTATAAGTTGGATTCAAGCTTTTGACAATGCTTCATTTTAAATTGAAATAATTCCATCAATGGAAACATTAACTTCATTATATGCTCAATTACTCTAATGATACCCTGGTTATGGAATCTCTACCCGAGCTTAAGTTTTTAACTCAATTTGCAATAAAAATGCGACCTTCCGATAAATGTTTTCATAGATATAGCAAGCCTAACAATTCCATTATATTTGAACATGTAATCATGCAAAGAAATTCAGATAGACAAACAACTAAGTGAAAAAAAGTGATTGGTGATACAAAACTAAAGGAGAAAGATGTGGGAATATGATATAGCAACGGGTACTGATAGAACATATAGATGTGATTTAGCGCCTTCCCGATGCCACTGATTCAGCAGAGAAGAGGTACTTCACTCTTGAAAGAACAGAATCATGTGTTGGATCGTAAGGATGGTCCTTGGAAGGAATCTCCAAAATTGCTGGAATTGGATTATTGTAGCTATCTACTAAAAACCTTATCATGTTTGCAACCTGAAGATGAACATTGTTACATTAGACAATGTTTTATCCACAGAATCAAATGACAAATGACAAATGAGCAGCACCACAAAATAAATGTACTCATTCGTCTCTTACTACCAGACTATAATAATTGTGGGACTTAGTGATTTATATGAATGTTGCAATAAAGGTTTAACTTGAAGTTTAGGAAGCATTAGTAAATTCAGTACCAAAGTATGAAGTCCCAATGACTGAAACATTAATGTAACATGCTAAATATGTGACACGACCCATACATTCATCATAAAATTTTAATATTTTTTCTCATTCACATGATAGAATTTAAATAAAGAAGAAAAAGAAAAAAGAAGCATCTTAGGGTGCTCATGATGCATCTGATAGGGTATAAGCATGCACTATAATCATATGCACAAGTCATAACCACAGAAGAGCATTAAAATCAATAAAAAATATGACAGAGTAGAACAAAAAACGTACATATTGGCTAATCATCACTATTGCAACGTCTTCTCTTGTTGTGAACTCCTTGAATGCCTCTTCAATTTGCTTAACAGTTGTTTCTAAGCCATAATAAAAGAGCATCTATAAGCCAAAATAAGAATATCCAAAAATTCAATTGAATTGAAATTAACTAGGGGGAAAGGACAGATTCTAATTACATAACTAAGGATACAGGGCAAGAACAAAAATTTGGAGTGGTATAACAGCATCCGAAACCCATGTAGTTTCAAGTTCTCTCTCTGTCTCTCACTCAACAATTTTAAAGCAAATTTTGAATCTCCTTAGCTGCTCATTCTGTTGCAGAGAAACAAAATCTACAGCATAAATGACAAGAGTAACTAGTAGGCTTTAATGATTTGATCATAAAATTAAAGTATGTTGACCATCCAGTCATTTATTGGAGATAGCTTTTCAATTCATCATATGCAAGTTATTTTAGTGAGAACTATTCCCAAAACAACTACAACAGGAAAAAACATCAAAAGCCAGTCACATTATTGCTTACTATATTCTTTTAGATAGCATGGAATGTTCACTTCAGAGCTGGAAACAACGGAAGACAAACAATACAGTAAAAAAAATAAATAAATGCAACTTCCTTAATATGAAAGAGGTAATCACAGAAATCCAACACAATAATGCCTAAAACATTAAAATTTCAGAACATTTGGAGCTCAAAAGCATACTTGAGTCCACAATTAGGTAATTTGTCTTTCTCCGCAAGTCCACATTGCCTACTCCAGCCAGTAAAAATCCAGTTATTGTGTCCTACATCAGATAAAGTTAACTACAATCAGCTCCAGCAATATTGAGCATCACATTAGCAGTCATCTTAAAGACCTTCCTAAATATACACCAAGATGTCAGGAACAAGCAAAAACATATCTGATGATGTTTTAACAACCTAACAAGCCATCGTTGTCACATACTCGGACACGTGGATTGCTGCTAGAGCAGTTCAGCATAACTGCTAGTATGGGCAACTAAAGTCATGCAGTAAACCAGATGGTTAAGACCATTCAGCTTGCCCCATGTGATCTTACATCACTAAATTCAAAAGATATGATGCCAAAAAAGCACAGTCTGCTTTCAGACTGCCTCATAATGCATCTACTGCCACATTGGAACTGTAAGACTCAAGGTTTGCTCCCGTTAACTCAGCCGCAGCACATTTATGTCTCAAATTTATGAAATTATGGCTAGAGTGGAAATATAAAACTGAAAGTGAAGCCCTAAGTGTCAGACTCATCAAATCACCTTTCAAAAGAAAATGTGTGCCATATTTGTTATGTGAAGAGTAATGTCCACAAACCGGTTCAAGTAAAAGATACAGCTGACACATCGTGAAGATGTGCAACATACTGGTATTTCTTTAGTGAATGAAGGTGTCATATTCTCGCGTACAGTTCATACATTTTAATATATTCCAAAAAATGACAGGCTTAACAAAGGCAAACTACCTCATCTCAGAGAAGCAGAATATGATAAAAAGTTAAGAGTGTCCAACCACCTACAAAGAATGCTGTTTCTTACACATAATTCTGTGCTATAGAAGATGATTCTCTGAACCTTACATCACAATTCTGTGCTAACAGCTGAGCATGTTACAGAGCTAAAAGCTAAACAAAAAGAATCACCAATTTACATCACTAATTATTTGATATTTAATCCTTCACAATTATTGCAGTTTTATATAAATAGCTGCTTAAACAACTGTGTAAGACAAACATAATAGAGAAACTCCAAAGTCCAAACATAAAGATAATATGAAACTTTTCGTTAAAATTTTCCAATCATATAATTTCCGTTACTAAACAAATAGCAAGTAAAACATTCTTACCTCATCAGCAATCATGGCAATGAGTGCTGAGTTGCTTGTACGAATTTGAGCTTTGTTAGCCATTCAAAGCAGATAATACAACTACAAAAGGAAAACAGACAAAAATTTCAAATAAAGCACTGCATTGCTAATTTAAAAGCTCAGTCTAAAAGCTAAAGCATGCACGATGATGTAGAGTCACATTCCATCCAATAAAAGATTCACTTCACAGTAAAAGATGTGAAGGTGTTATAGATGGTATCAAGGTTGTCAAAATAGGGATTCAAGAAACAAGTGATCCACAATTGCTATACGAATGAAGAATCTCTTAAGTATATAAAGAATAAGCCTAAATTATACATGAAGTAGGAATATAATGAAAAACATGAAGACCAATCCATGAATCATGAAACCTTTGTAGAAGCCGCATACTGGTGTCCGACACAGATACGCTGTGGCCACATGTTGGACATGCTAGAGGAAGTATCCAATTTTTAAATTTTTTTTTTCCTTCTACTTTTTTAAATTGTGGGTAAATAATGCGAATGTGATTACTTCAGGCAGTTTGATTTCTTGTGATGTATGTTGTGATGTAGCCGCATACTGGTGTCCGACACAGATACGCTGTGGCCACATGTTGGACATGCTAGAGGAAGTATCCAATTTTTAAATTTTTTTTTTCCTTCTACTTTTTTAAATTGTGGGTAAATAATGCGAATGTGATTACTTCAGGCAGTTTGATTTCTTGTGATGTCTGGATTGAATTTTCAATTTGTTAAAAATTGTATAATTAATAAATTTATTTTATAGATCTTGAATTTTGAGAAAGTTTACAAATTCTTCATAGTTTTTAATATTTGTAAAGTTTATCATTAATTTTTCAAACATCAACTGATTTGAAATTACCCCTATCTTTTTTTCTCAAAAAATGCAAAATCAAAACGACAGCCAAAAGAGATACTTCAGGATCTAAAACAGAGCAATCGGACATTAATCACACAGCGTAAGCACATATGATATCAATTAAAGCAATATAATTTAGAAATCAATTACGAAAGAAAATACATAAAATCTAAATTCGATTAAACTATGAAGAAAAGTAAAGAATTTTCAAAGGGCACACACCTGTTAATTCGATTCTTTGTGGATCGATCGAGTTGGGGGAGTGGGAAGAGAGGAGAGAAATCCGGACAGCGAGCTCTTTTCTTAGCAGACTTTTTCACGTGAGGGAGAAACAAATACATGCAAACGACGCCGTCTAGGATGTCCTCTTTTCCCTAACAACGACGCCGTATCATCATATCATATCATATCTCTCATATATATATATATATATATAGGGATTTTTATTGATAAATCCATTTTAGAGTTATTATAACCCATTAGGTCCACAAAAGAATATTATAACCTGATTAGTCCTATAAACTTTTCTTTTTATTCCATTAGGTCCATTTTTCTAATTTACTATGTTTACTTGGACTATTTTGTCCCCATATATATATATGTACAGTGTTAATACATATTACGTGCCTGTTTCCACGCTGATTCAGTTTTGCAGTTTCAATTTTACGCTTTTCATCACCATTCCATTTCGAAGGGATACGTTTCTATTTTGCATGCTTATTGCAAGGCTTGGATGTACTACGGTTTCATTCTTACTGTTGTAGTCTGCTTCTGTATTTTTGAGTGAAGACGAAGAAGAGGAAAGTGTTCGGTTGTCACATTTGTTGGACTGTAACTAGTTCAAATCAGTTTTTTTCTAATTTCTGGACGATTGTAGGATTGCGTGATTAAGGTTAGTATCAATTTGGTTATGAATACATGCTCATTCGTATGATGGATCAGATGCTCTATTTTTGGATTGATATGGATCGGATGCTCTGTTTTTTCAATTATATGCATTTTACGTGGTCCTGTGGATGGGAGTTCATTCAGATTATGTAAAGAATGTTTAGTTCTCATTTTACTTTGATGTATCCATAATGAGGCTCTGTCTGGATGATATAATTGAGAGTGTATGTATCAATGTGAATGTTTATATTTTGTTAATGTGGAATATGTGAAGAATGTGGATGTTCTCATTTTAAATTGATGTTTGCTTAATGAGGCTCTGTGTGTGTGATATAATTCAGAGTATATGTGTCAATGTGAATGTTTATATTTTGTTAATGTGGAATATGTGAAGAATGTGGATGTTCTCATTTTAAATTGATGTTTGCTTAATGAGGCTCTGTGTGTGTGATATAATTCAGAGTATATGTGTCAATGTAAATGTTGACATCTTGTTAATATTGTGTGAAGATTGTTGATGGTGTCATTTTACTTTGATGTTTGCTTTATGAGGCTCTGCGTGGGTGATATAATTCGAAGAATATGTATATGTATCAATGTGAATGTTCACATCTCTTAATGTGAATTATGGATTTAGCACTTGAACTGTACACATAGTCATCTATTTTCTCCGCAATGTGAATGTTCATATCGATTTTGATTACTGTTCGTTGTTGTGGTTTTGTGTTTTTACAGGAGATGGATACTTTTATGATATTGGTGTGTACATATGATTGTAGTACAACTATAATAAATGTTGCCCGCGCATTGTGTTATTCTCG